GTAAAGTGTCTTTTTTTTTTTTTTTTTTTTTTTTTTCCCCTTATGCTTTTGCTGATTGACGTTAGGAGTGACCATCCACCCTCCATGCTAAGAGCAGAAAGCCCGAGGGCAGCGTACCCCGATACCATCCCCAAGACCCCCCTGTTCCTTCCCAGCGGATCTGCTCCCCCCAGACAGACATGCGTCCCCCCAGACAGACACGCGTCCAGCTGCTCTCCAGCACGTGGGGCGTCCCCTGTTCTCCTGCCTAGCAGGATCCTTTGCCTGGTTATCCTTATAAATCAGAGTCTTTCCTGCTGTCTAAGCCACATCCCCTGGCTGCAGCTTAATCCTGGGATTTCTTACCCAGCCTGCAGCGACAGGAGGAACATTATTCCCTTTGTCTCTGCCGCAGCCATGTTTTGAAACCTGTTGCCGTGTCTCCCCTCAGCCTCCCCTACTTCTTCATCTGTTGCTCCACAGCCCACGTGTTCGAGGTCTCTTATCTGAGTCTTCTCGTTACCGTCTGGATGCCTTCCTCGTGAGCCGTGTCCTCATGGGGCTGGCCTTGGGATGGCCTTGCTGCGGCGGGGGGGAAGGACGGTTCCTGCGTCGTATCGGCTGCCCCCGATGGCGTGTTCCCCTCGCAAAGCGTTTGTTCTTTCTGCAGCTCTCCAGTCCCAACTCGCATCTGCCCGGTGATGCATTGCAACCTGCCGATCCTCTGCCGCGGAGCTGTTGCCCCTCCCCAGCCTGTGCGTACGTGGGGAATTGCTCCGGCCTTGGGGCAGTGCTCTCCTTGCCAGGCTGCAGTCTCAGACGCCTCTCCCAGGGTGCAGGGATCCTTCTGAACTTTCTTCTGTCCTGGCTGGGGATCAAAAAATGATACGCAAACAAACAAAAGTGAGAAAGGCCGAGAAGCGTTGTGATTTGCCCAAGGGAGGCGAGGCTGGGGTTCAAAGGGAAGGCAGCACCAGGGTTTTGTGCTTAGTGTGGGGCTCAGGAGAAGCAAGTTCCCATCTGTTTCTCTGCTACGTGTCTGATGGCTTCGTCTGCGCGCCCGGGTCACGGTGCTAATGCTCCTTCTTGCTCTGTTACAGACTCTGCCATATTCCCCACCATGGGTGACATGAAAACTCCAGATTTCGATGACCTTCTGGCAGCTTTCGATATTCCTGACATCGACACGAACGAGGCCATCCATTCTGGCCATGAGGAAGCTGACGCTCACATCAAGCAAGTCCCTGGGGAGCCGGGACCCCCTGACCACGTCCTCCCCCACACGGACATCACCGCTGTCAGCGTGATCGTGAAGAACACCGTCTGCCCCGAGCAGCTCGATGCCCTGGACGGGCGCAGTAAAGATGGGCACGTCATCGGGCCCCGCTTGCTGCAGAATGGCTTTGGGGCCACCGAGATGCCCAGGTCCCCCACCTCCAGGTCTGTGGAAGCTGTGGCATCCTCCAACGGGGAGTGTTGGGTGAAGGAAAAAGGCCCCAAACCCCTGGATATCTTCTCCCATTTTAGCCCTGATCCCAACGAAGACAATGCTGCCAACCTGATTGACAGGCCCCGGGAGTGTAAGCCGAAAGAGAAATCCCTTGCTGTGCCCTCCCTCTCCCCATCTCCCACCCCATCGCTGGACTGCAAAGAGCCCATGGGAGAGAGCACGAGAACCTGCCCCCCGGCTTTCGCCCAGCTTTCCCGCAGTCCTTCGAAACAGGCCAGGCAGGGGGTGCGAACGGGTCCCCTCCTACCATCCCCTGCATCAAAAAAGAGGAGTCTGACTCTGAGGAGGTGGGCCGTGAAGCCAGCCCGAAGGGTTTGGCTGCAGCCTTGGGTGACAGTCCCTTGGATCACCTGAAATCGGTCACCGTTCGCTACTCCACGGATGATTCTCCCATCACGTCCTGGGCTGGTTCTGACCCAAACCTCGACAGCAGCACCAGCAACCTTCCTGAAGTGAAACGCTCGCCCGCCAGCCCCCAGGAGCCGTTCTTCAAGCCTTCCTCACCGGTGGTGCAAAGCCCCAGACTCCCCACTTCTCCAAAGCAGCTGGACAACATCGCCCTCAAGGAAGAGCAAGAAGTTCTGGAGAAGTCAATGGGAAGTCCGCAGAGTATGTCCAGCGCTGAGGATGATGAGGAGGAAGATGACAACAACAATGATTCTCCTTCTTCCAATTCCTCGCGGCCCCTGAAAGTGCGGATTAAAACCATCAAAACATCTTGTGGCAGCATCACCCGGACAGTGACCAGGGTCTCATCAGATTCAGAGCCGGGCTCCACCAAGGGGCCGGCTGAGCACGGCTCTCAGGAGACCTCTCTTGAGGGTGCCAGCTTCTCAACATCGGCAGAGAAAGAGGACGGGATTGCGCTGGAGGTGCCCAAGGAGAAAATGGAGCTCTCCAGCCCCTTGAAAACCATCGAGGGGCCAAAAATCGTCAGTGTTCAGCTTGGCAACGGCACCAAGCTCAAAGGGACTGTCCTGCCTGTCTCCACCATCCAGAATGCCAGCAGTGCCATGCTGATCGCTGCCAGCGTGGCTCAGCAAAAATCCGTGGTGCTGCCGGCAAAGACGGGTCAAGCCAGGGCT